ATACTGCCTGCAAAGTCACTTCTTGCCCTCCCAGGAAAGTGAGGATAGATGTCCCCTTCCTGTCCTGTGATCAGCTTTGGCGGCTCTCTGCACTTCCAGATGTCATGTGGTGGTGACCCTCTCAGAAACAGGAATTGGAACCCTACTAGCTGGAGCAACCATCCAAGAAGGGGCATGATTAGGGATCTGGGCACACAGCATACCACCTTCCTTTCCCAAAAGATGTTGTAGAATATAAATGGGGGACTGGAGAAAAACGGAAAATATGCAAAGCTTTGTTAGAAGATCTGCCAATGAAATACACGGGACAAGTGATCACTCTATCATCTGCTCTGACCTACAGGGCAGCTGCCCTGGCTCTGGCCATGTTTTCCTGTGTGTTAATCTGGACCTTGTTCTGAATCAGCTTTACACAGACCTTTGCAGATGAATGAGTGCCACGTCATGAATGGGGAAACCTTTCCTTGTCGGTAAAGACCTTGTGCTGATTTTGAACCCATTTTCAAGGGCCCACCTTAGACCATTCATGAACTCTGCTTGTTGGTCTGCTTAGACCCAATGAAGGGATTAGGACAACAAGCTGACGACTTTTAGATGGGCTGATATAGGGTTATATTTTTCTGTGCTGATATGAATATACAAAATAGCAATTCTAATTTTATATAAATTAAGTGCAAATAATCTATGCACATACACTCTTGGTAACTATACTATTTTAAAATCATGAAATGGAACATTATTCAATGTGAAAAACGAAGAAAATTCATGGACAGGTGCAGTGGCTCATACCTGTAACCTGGCACTTTGGGAGGCCGAGGCGAGCAGATCACTTGAGGCCAGGAGTTTGATACCAGCCTGGCCAACATGGTGAAACCCCGTCTCTACCACAAAAACAAAAAATTAGCAGGGCATGATGGCGTGCGCCTGTAATCCCAGCTACTCAGAGGCTTAGGCAGGAAAATCCCTTGTAAGCAGGAGGCAGAGGTCGCAATGAGCTGAGATCACACCACTGAACTCCAGCCTGGGTGACAGAGTGAGATTTCATCCCCAAAAAAAAAGGAAGAGAATTCTGACACATGCTACAATATGGATAAACCTTGAGGACATAATGCCAAGTGAAATAAGCCAGTCCCACCACACACATACTGCGTGATTCCACTTCTATGAGATACCTAGAATAGTCAAGTTCATAGAGACGGAAAGTAGAATGGTGGGTGCCAGGGGCTGGGGAGGGAGAAACAGGGAGTTAGTGTTTAACAGGGACAGAGTTTCTGTTTGGGATGATGAAAAAATGTTCTGGAAATGGATGATGATGATGATTGCACAACAATGGAATTGTATTCCTACCACAGAACTATACACTTAAAAATTGTTAGAATGATAAACTTAATGTTATGTATATTTTACCACAAGAAAATACAATATGAAAATGGCAAAAATATTAACATACATGAAAAATGCGGTTAAAAATTGAGTTTCTGACTATGTTTACTCATATAAAGGGAATACATTCTTGTAAATCGACTGAAGTCAAAGAAATGGAATCTCTTTAGAAGCATTCGTCATTTTGTCTCGTAAACAACCAGGAAATGTTCTCTTGTACTCTAAATCCTAAGAAAGGAAAAGTTTAGGATTTCAGTTATATTTGTTTATGAGTTTCAGTCAATAGTTGTCTGCAAGTCAGCAATGTCTTGAAAAATAGTTTGGAAATAAATGGTGGGGTTTTACCACAATGCGCTGGCTGCTGAGGCAGAGAGAGGGAGGGTGAGCTAACTGGCCAACCCAGTTCTATCATAAATGTGTGTGGGTGACCAGAAGGAGGCAGGGGCCAGTTAGTCAGCTCAAAGCACATCACGTCATCTTAGCTCACATTCCTATTGAGGTCAGGTTGGGGATTGGCTTCTCCAGCTTAGTGGCACACACACGAAATCTGAAAGAGAAAAACTGATATTTCAAATGAGATAAATGGAAAATGTTCTCTAGAGAAAGAGGAACATTTTTCTCTTTCTTGCCTTTTCTCTGAGAAAAGGCAAGGGGAGAGAAAAGGCAAGGGGAGGCCATGCACGGTGCCTCACACCTGTAATCCTAGCACTTTGGGAGGCCAAGGTAGGAGGATCACTTGAGGTCAGGAGTTTGAGACCAGCCTGGCTAACATAGTGAAACACTGTCTGTACTAAAAATGGAAAAATTAGCTGGGCATGGTGGCATGCACCTGTAGTCCTAGCTACTTGGGAGGCTGAGGCAGGAGAATCGCTTGAACTTGGGAGGCAGAGGTTACTGTAACCTGAGATCATGCTACTGCACTCCAGACTGGGCAACAGAGCAAGACTCCATCTCAAAAAAGAAAGAAAGGAAGAAAAGGGAAGAGGATTCTTTGTCAAGATTGGCAGAGGCTGGAGGAAAAGGGGCAACTGAAAACCACTTGAAAAGGGTATGTGTAGACCAACTCCTCTCCTGACTCCAGTCGGAACCGGGAATTGAGGGGTGGAGTGAGCTAGAGTCACTTTCCTAATCAAGGAATCATGCAATGAGATTCTGGCATGCTCAGACACACCTATGGAGGAACATCTGTGGGATGCTGTGCATGAGCCCTGTGCTGGGTGCTTTCAAGGGCCACCCGAGATCCTGGGTCCTAGAGGGCATCATTTGGTAATGAAGGCTGAAACCATACTGCTACTGCCCTGACTTCCCTCCCTTGGAACAGAAGGTTAACACAAGAAGGGAACTCAGATGCTGCCCAACTCCACCTCCCACTTACGGACGATACCGCTGACACGGTTTGGATGCATGTTGCCCTTAAATCTCATGTTGAAATGTAACCTCCAGTTTTGGAGAGGGGCCTAGTGGGAGGTATTGGAACCTGGGGGTGAATCCCTCATGAATTACCTCTCCATAGTAATGAGTGAGTTCTCGCTCTGTTAGTTCATGTGAGAGCTGGCTGTTAAAAGAAGCCTGGCACCTCCTCCTTGCTCTCTCACTCCCGCTCTTGCCCTGTGATGCACCTGCTCCCCCCGGCCTCCCACCATGGCTAGACACTTCCTGCGGCCTCCCCAGAAGCAGATGCCAGCAACATGCTTCCTGTACAGCCTGCAGAACAACGAGCCAAATAAACCTCTTCTTTATAAACAATCCAGTCTCGAATGTTTTTTAGAGCAATGCAAAAATGGACTGACACAGGCACGGAGGGCTGGGTGACCCAACTCACCAAGGACCACAGCCAGATGTGTCAGCCCCAAGAGGCCCAGACTCCCGACACCTGACATTTGACTTCTCAAGTCATGCTTGCCCGGTGGAGTGGCACGCATTGCTTGCCAAGCCCTTCTTGCCACATGCCACGTAATCTCATTTAACTAATTTACGACTCTGGACTGCAGGCTGAATGATAGCTATTTGTTTCCCTGCCCCAGTTGCAAGCTAAGGAAAAGTGGGCTTCATTAATTCAAGTGCTTATCTCCCAACAACTGTTAACAAGCCGTGGACGCTGCTCCAGCCAGTTGGCTTTTCTGAGAAGGTGAAAGGGCCTCTAGTCCATATGGTCTAGATTCTTGTACATTTTCATTTCAAACGCTAAGGTTGACAGATCTGCTAAGCGCAAATGGGGTGTTAGTTAATATCTAATTACTCTAACACAAGTCACAGCCCATTTAACTGAGTCAGACACCAGTCTTTGCCTTCACTGACAGACACATTTAGGACATCAATGTACACACTCTCCCCCAACCATTTAGCCTAATCTGCCGTTGTAACATTCTTGTGATGCAGTTAGTGTGAATCTACACGTCCTCCTTTCCGGTTGGGTTTATATGTCTGAAGTCTCCCTCTTTCTTATTCTCTAATATGCTAATGGGCCTTCAGATAACAACGAGGTAAAAATGAGAAAAGAATATGTACCTGCTGCTTTATGATTTTCTAAAAACAGCAATGCGATGGTTGGAATCTAAAAGCCAATATGAGTCCACCCTGGGCTGTATTCTGGTTGTCTGTTCAGGGTTGGTGAAGCCCGAGGTGGGAGAATCTACAGGCAGGAACCACAGCTCTAGCTTGGCACCTCCTCCAACTCCAAGAAAACCACCTCGACACACTGCACCTCAGCTTCTTCAATTTGAAACATGTGTGAGTTCATGACACCTCACCTCTATTCACACGTATTTGAGATTAGGATCAGAATACTCAGGGGGACTGGGTGTGGTGGCTCACACCTGTAATCCCAGCACTTTGACAGGCCAAGGCAGGTGGATCACCTGAGGTCAAGAGTTCAAAACCAGCCTGGCCAACATGGTGAAACCGTCTCTACTAAAAATATTTTTTTAAAAATTAGGTGGGTGTGGTGGGCAGAGCACCTGTAGTCCTGGCTACATGGGAGGCTGAGGCAGGAGAATAACTTGAACCCAGGAGGTGGAGGTTGCAGTGAGCTGAGATCACACCACTGCACTCCAGTACAGGCGACAAGAGCAAACTTCCATCTCATAAAAAACAAAGCAAAACAAAATAAAAAACTCCTCAGGAGATTATCATGTGTGTGAACATCCTCCTTTCTTCAGGGATGGAACAGCACCTGGAATTAAAGAACATGAGAAAGTGTTCTGAAATTCACCAGGATGGCTGAAAGACCCACCATCAACAACAGTGTAGGGGATGAAGTAAAATTAAAAGGTAAGATTTTGTAAGAGTTATGTTCTTTGAATATGCTCAGGGTTAGAAATCCAAGAGTAGCAGGCCTATTTAAGAGCATCTGGCTAAAAGGTGAAGTAGGTAAGAAGTAATCAGAAATTTCCTTGATTGAATTCCTCAGTGCATAATTAATCTGAAGGCAACCAATCTCAAGGAGCACCCTAAAATATACATTGGGTAAATTCAGAAGCAGATAGGTTCAAAATTGGTAAAACAGTAGCAGAATTTAAGGGGTTTCCAATTCAAGTCCTCCACAGGTGCTGGGAAAAGCAAGAAGGTACAGATTCTAGAACTCTTTAGAGTAGGTATGGCGTGAGTGGAAACCATCACTCCATCAAGGTAATTTTTATTTTAAAAAAATTACAGAAAGAACAAAGAACTAAAAGAATGAGCAAGTTTACATTTGTACATTTTGTGTATTTGGGACCCAATAGGGGGCAAAGGATAAAGTAGCATGGACAAAGGTTTCTGTGTGAGAGCAAGCAAAAAGCAAGGGCTGCCCCAGTTGTGTCACGGGCATCCATTCAGAGCTGGGACCCTGCAGCCACCTGCCTGCACTCCGGAGGTGAGAGGCACACGTAAGCGCGTATCAGTGGGAGCTTCGCAGCGGAACTCAGCCCAGTGCATTGCAGCACGCATGACACTCCTACAATAATACTTGATAGGCAACAGCAGATAAACAGTTCCAAAAACCAAACAGTATTGCCCATCGAATATGAGTGTAAACTGGATTCAGTTCATGCTGTTTTAACTAGAATGGTTACATGGAACCTAATGAGGGGAAAATGGCCTGATGGGTCTAATTGCTCTATTCAATGGCACGGTTACAAATCAGCGGGCCTGTAAGAAAGAACCATACATTTCTCTCAAAAATACAAACTGAAAGGAACTTGGAGGAGTGACAGAAAGGTTAAAGTACAGTTTTAACATATTAGACAATTCTTCATACTGTCATAGAATGCTGCTTGCGGTTAAGGATTTGGTAGAGATGAAAAACTGCTCAAATTTAATTCCCACAATTCTAAAGAACAACGAACATTTCAGAGTATTGATCAATCTTCACTGAAAAAATTAAAAAGACTAGTGTTGACCGGGCACGGTGGCTCACACCTGTAATCCCAGCACTTTGGGAGGCCGAGGCAGGTGGATCATGAGGTCAGGAGATGGAGACTATTCTGGGCGACATGGTGAAACCCCGTGTGTACTAAGAATACAAAAATTAGCTGGGTGTGGTGACATGCCCCTGTAGTCCCAGCTACTTGGGAGGCTGAGGCAGGAGAATCACTTGAACCCAGGAGGCAGAGGTTGCAGTGAGCCAAGACTGCACCATTGCATTCCAGCCTGGCGACAGAGCAAGACTCCATCTCAAAAAAAAAAAAAGACTAGTATCCCCGTGTTAGGAATGAGCAATTGCTAAGCTTTTTCAAGATTTCACCCATTTTGTGGACAGAGAAATAGAGCTTTTAATAGTGCAATGTTGCATATATGGGTAACTTGTTCTTTGAGAAATATAAACTCAAACTCACAAGTTGTCATGATACCATATGCAGTAATAAGACCATTCTACAACAGAGTCACCCACAGGCAAAACACATGACCAGGCTTTGAGCTCACACCAATTCACACAGCATACAGTTGTGCTACAAGGAGAATTTTCTTCATCATTTATTCTTTAGTTAACTGAAACATAGGTAAGAAAAAATGGTGCCAATTCCTCCCAAACAACACATGGATGTTTTTGCTTCTTGGCCCACTTAGAATCTCAAAAGGACAAAAAAAAAAAAAATACATGGACCAGTATTAGTACAGGAAACACGTTTTAAAGAACAGAGAATGAGCTCTTCATCCCACCTCAGTAAAGCTTGGGCTGATGAAGAGAGGGTATAATCAGGGTCCTCTCTTGTCATACGTACAAGCTGACCCTTGTTTCCCAAGCATTATCGTAGTGGGTAGACTGCCTTTATTGTTAGTCCCTAATTGAATAAAATCAGTCATCACAATGAAGAAATTCTGAAGAGGGCAGTGAAGTGACAACAGCTTCAGCTCATCATCGATGTTATACAGAAACACAAAAGGAATACCCGGCCTGTGATGAATGAGAGGCCTCTGCTGTGTGTTCAGGACACCTCAGAGCAGGCACATAAAGTGCTGGGAGGTAACACAGCCTGTCTGGACGTCCTCGGGAGGGTGTGCCATACAGGAGGTGATGCCCCTGTCCAGCACACACACAGGCACTTCCACCCGCTGCTGGTCCTGCTAAAGGTGTGAGGCTAAAACCGGCCTTTCCAGAAAAGAATGCTCAGTGTGTGCTGACTATGCTTCCCTTTTAATTTCCCGAGTATTCAACAGGAGGTACATTTTAACAAGGAAAAATATGCCTAACAAACAGGACAGATGACTCCCTCAACAAGAGAGCAACTATGAACATGATACAAATTTAAATAAAAATGTTTAGTTCAACATGTTCATCATGGAGTTTCAAATCAGCAGATGCTGTGGCAGGAAAGGGGCACACAGCTGGGCCCTTGCCTGCCACGGCTGTCCCGTGCCCGCCACGGCTGTCCCGTGTCCGCGGCTTCTTCAAGGCGGGGAGAGCAGCTTCTCTCTTGAAGCTTTCTCAGTTTCTCAACAGATCTTCACTTGCTAGGAAGCCAGAGACATGAGTTCACCCAAGAGTGAGTCTTGGGTACACAAGGCAGAATCTTTTGGGAGCTGAGAGCTGGAGAGGAAGTAAGAAGGAACAAAGGTACTTCTCCAGGGTCAGCCGTTTCTTAGGGCAAAGGCAGAGCCCACGAGGTAACCCTGGGAAACGGGCTCACGAGTGAGCGGCCTGGATGGAGAACGTGTCTCTGCAGTGAGGGCAGGGCTGCCCCCCATGAGGCTCTGCCCACCAGGCAAGAGAGGGCTTCCTCTCCAGTCATGCCGAAGCCACATTTCCAGTGCAAACATGAGTCTAAAGGTCGGAGTGTGGGGATGGTGGGGGAATCCCCCACCTGGGTCTGACTGCATGAGGAAGACTCCCTTTTTTTTCAATGTACACCTTTGTCTTGGATTACTAAGTGCCTGGAGAGGTGAACTCTTGCATGTCTCTATTTTTGGGATTTTTAAAGGTTTTCCATGAACATTCATAGAGCCTGGTCAGCAGTGAGGAGTCCTTGTTGTGTGTGGACGGAAGGCTCCCTGGCACCCAGATGTCTCCCTTCATCCTAGCTGACACAGAGCATGATGGTTGTCTGCTCTTCACGTCCAGCAGGCTCAGAAAGAACTCGGAGTTCCCCTCATGTCCTCGGGCCAAGCTTTTCAAGTCCGAGTGCCAGGGCTGGATGAGCTGGGGTTCGTGTGTCTGCTGGCAGCACAGTGGGTATGCACAAGACCACCATTTGGGTATCTAACAAACACAGGCTCACAAAAGGGATTTTGGCATATCTGACAAAGCTTTTTGTCTGAGAGCCGAATTGAGCTTCCTTTCAACTTCATCTGCAAAAAGAAACCGAGACTGAGAATGGTGTCATGTGTTAGGTATACTTAAAGTGGCTATGTCCTAGTTTTGAAGAGTTGACATGCGTTACTCCATGGGTTATTATTATGAGACTTTCTTAAGTATCAACTTCTTGAAACAAAATACTAAAGGTGTAAATAAAACCATCCTTAGTAACTGGAGAAGTAAAAAAGCTACATAAATGCTTTTCTTATTTCACAAAAGTAATTGCTGCTTGTCTGGCTGAGGCATTTCTACCCAAGATCCTCTCTCCAACATTCTCTGGGCTCTGATCATCTCAAGCCCGGCCTATCAGAAAGGCATGAATGTTAATGCTGAATGGGACCATACAATAGTTGAATTTCAGGGTTCTCTCATTTGCAAACAAATAAGGGATGTAGTCAAAGTTATAGAGCTAATGAGTGGCATATTCCTCGCTGGTCCTGGGAGACACCCTTTTGTTTCCTTAGATGTAACTGGTGAAACTGAGTCTTAATGCCATGGGTTCCTGTCTGATAACTAGGACTTGAGTTCTGAAAGTTATGAAGTTTTTCTACACAATTCACCTGTGTCAACCCAGGCAGGTTGGTCTATTGGCAGGATCAAGCAGCAGCTTAGTGATTCGTCCTGCACTCCGTAGTTGCATCAGTCATTCCACAAACATGGACTAGAAGCCTTCAACATGCCAGGCTTAGCCTACGGACACTGAGATAAAGAAATGAAGTTCCCTGTCCTCGAAGAACCCAAACTCCAATAGTACAGGGTGACACCTGTGAATGCAAACACTAAGTAGAAGGTGGGTGAAAGGGAAGGTGATTACTTAAGAGGTCTGAGATGGCTTCACAAGGGAAAAAATACTTGGGCTAAGTTCTGACTGGGCATTTGCTGGGCCCAAAGAAAAAGCTAAGAATATCCCAGACAGTGGGTACAGCATTTACAAAAGCAACTAAGTATGAAATACCAAGTCACATCTGCAAAGTTCTGCTAAAGCCAGGATATGTGCTGGAAAGCAGAGGTGGGGAGAGATGGGCTACATCTTCCAGGCCAGGGGCATCAGCAAAGGCTTCTAAGTGTGAGGGGAACATGTCAGATTCCCACTCTGGAAAAAAGACTGCCAGCCATGTGGAATTCAGGCCTACAAGAAAGAAGTCTCCAGAAGGGGAATATAGCATGAAGACCAAGAATGTGGGGTTCTGAACTGGTCAGGGAGGCAGCTCTGAATGTGCCCATTTCCTGAGCATGTGACTGCTCTCTGCCTCAGTTTCCTCTCCTGTGAAATGGAGATGCTGACAGCAGATACTGCATAAAACTGTCATGATAACAAAAAGCTAGCATGACATAAAACGCTAGGTCAGTGCCTGGCACACGGCATGTGCTGGGTAAGCGCCTGATATTCTGCTGCTGCTCTCCTCCCCACAGCTCTCCCACAGATTCTCTTAATAACCAGCGTCCACAAGGGGAGAAAAACTACACCAATGTTACACCTACCAGCCCAGTCTTTGCCTCTGCTCACACAGACCTCAGTTTCTATGAGTAGGATCAGATATTGATGTGTTATAGTCACAGAGACAGAAAAAAAGAAAAACTGACAAAGACTATTTTCCATCAGTAAAATCTACCTTCCATACGACGTTGACTGGCCAGGAAGCAGCTCGTGAGGATCGGTACTCACCTTATCACAGGTGTAAATTAAGTTTTCTGACTTGGCCAGGCCGAGAGCCACCTGCATGGTCCTCCTGGCATGGACGCTGCCCCTCATGGCCCCTGTCAGGAATGGGCAGAGGAGCTGCACTGACCAGGTGTCGGGCAGCATCTGCAGCACCTGGGCTGCGTCGAATTCGGTGGCATGGCGGTTCAGCAGGTCCATGGCGGCCACTGCCAGCTCGTTGGAGGCGGGGCCGGCACGCAGGTAGATAGCCAGCAGCGTGTGGAAGAGGCGCTGGCGGTGGGGCGGGTCCTGGCCCTCAGAGCACCACAGGCAGTAGTCCTCGGCCGCTGCAAAGTCCCGCAGCTCATGCACCAGGATATGCAGCGCCTTCTCGTGCTCACCCAGCTTCCCATGCAGGATGGCACTCTCCATGGGCAGGCCGGCTCCCTGCAGCCTCTCTGTGAGACAGAACCCATGGTTCTTTCAGAAAGAAAGGGGCCCGCTGGCCACCCGCCCAGCAACCAGCCTCCTGAGCTTCAGGAGGAGCAAAGTCAACCGGGTTCCCTCACAATGCCAAATGCTGTCACTCAGATAACTGAGGGAAGGTTTTCTTGCATTTTCACACTGTGGATCCGGGTGTTAGTAAAACAGAAGGCAGACTCAACTCAAAAGTATAGCTGGGCCACAGAACAATTCCTTTTTCCAGCATTTAGAGGATGAATAGAACAAATGAACCACAACCTCAGAAAGGTCCAGGGGCTCAGTATCAGCCTTCCAGGTCTCCAGTTACTCCATCATCACTGCTATCCTTTCAGGACAGTATCTTTTGACTAAAATAGGACACCTAGTCCCCTAAAATCCTAACAAATACTACTTCCCCCACAAGGTGTGCTGAACCCCTCTATTCCAATTTAACGTAGATTTCATGGAATGGAATATGGGCTCATACAATTCAAAATCCATCTCTACGTTATTCAACAAAACGTTGCCAACAATAGGATATTTTATTTGTTTCACCTGCAATTCAGTTTCCCGGTCCTAAGGAAAATGACATAACCCAAAGGAAGCACTATTCCTGACCAAGGCCCTACCCTTAGTGGGCTGTGTCTCGCTGACAAAGTCACCTTGCTTCCCACCCCATCTGTAACCTCCATCCCAGCCCTTCTAGAACTCCACCACCCTTATCTGCATTCTGAGATAATTAAACTCTGAGTCTCTAAGGACCAGAAGCGAGTCTCACCTGTCTTTATATCCCCAAGAGATTATAAGATCTCTTCCTACTGTGAAGAAATATTATGAGGACAATCCTTAATTCAGGGTCAAGGCTAATAATCAAATTATAGGCATTTGAATCTTGTCTGTCTCTCAGGCCTGAAGAACATGGCAGACATTGCTAGTTGTGTAGCAAAGGGCTGCTGGCCCTACAAGGTACGTCCCTTATAGTGCTAGACACAGAAGTCACAATATGTATCGCCTATAACCTCACAGTGGAAGGCCAACAAATAATCACTAAGTGGCTGCCGCAGTTAAGGCCCCAGGAGAGGCGCAAAGATGGTTAAGAAAAGATCATCACGGTGATTTACACTTCATCTATCATCTCATTTATATTTGACTCCCACTGCCACCCCGAGGGGACAGGCTGGGGTGGAATCATTTTTACAACTTCCCTAGACTGACATCTCCCCATGTCATCTAACTAAGAAGGGATATCAAATTAGCGTTGGGTTTCCAGTGCTCCTCCCACAGTGCTGCTACAGGGGATACCACCATTGCTGGAAAGCTCCCCTCTGCTACCTGCAAGCGCAGACTTATACCTAATGACTGCTCATAAAGGGCCTCTTCCGGGAGACTGCCTCTGACCCCTCTGCCCCCTCTGCCCCTAGACACAGCTTGTGGGTTCCTCGGCCCATCTAAAACTGTACCAGCCCTTATCTGCATTCCAATTAAATTCTGAGTCTCTGAGGACCAGGACCAAGTCTCATCCATCTTCACATCCTCAATGCACAGTGACACACTCTACATGCTCAAAAACGCTGGCGGAATGCAAACATTGATCCACACACTTGTGGCTGGCCTGAGAGTTTTATAAGGAGATTTGTAAAGCAAAAAGGATAAGTCAGGAGTGAGTAAGAATATTCAATAGCTGGTATACCCTGGCAATGATCAGTCAGGGATGGCAGCTGTGAGTCAACAGAATTCACATGGCAGATCACCACAGAAAGTCCTAATGTAGGTGCAGGTGCAAGCCAGAACTAGTGTTTGCTGGTCTCATGAAATGCCATCCCACACCCCTGTTGTGGCTCTACCACGCATTGGGCTGTGTGACCTGTGGCAAGTGGGGTAACGTCTCTGAGCTTCAGTGCACTCTTCTGTAAAAATGGAGGAATGACCGGACTCGCTTCACGGGGTTGTTGTGGAAACTGTATGTCATAAGGCAGCCTCGGTGATTCGACCTGTGCCTGGCATATCCAGTCAATCCTCATTATTTGTGGATTCTGTATTTACAGAGTCATCTACTCACTGACATTTATTTATAACCTCCCAATCAACACTTGCAGGAATTTCAAGGTCATCTGTGACAAGCACCGAGCCTGACACAGAGCTGGGGCCAAAGGAGCAGCGCCCTCCCTCCTTGCTTCATTTCCTTTTCAGGGGCTCTTTAGTGCCATGCCTTTTTGCATGTTGGTGCCTTTAGTTGGTGATTTCAGCGTAGTTCTGAAGTGCTGCCTGGCACTCCTAAGCTCTCTGGAGACAACGCATGTGTTAGACATGCTTTGTTATTGGTCAAAAAATGGTATTAAAGGCCATTAAAGAAAAACACGTCACTAACCCCAGTGAGTATAAATCCAGAAATTCTATGTCTAATGTGGCAAGAAACTAGTTAATTCTAACAGTTGCAAGCACTGTGCTGCACATGGAACTTTACACGATACAGAAACGGTGGTCTCTGTACCCCTGAGGAATGGAAACGCAAATCCCCTCCAAGACACCCGCAATGCCTTCTCGCTTAGAGCTCGAGGGCCCTGAGCCTTGAGCAGCCCAGGAGTGGCCTGCTGGGGGCAGTGCCTACTGCAAAGCCTTGATCAGAGACTGGAGTCATCAGACGGAACTATGACTCAGTGCTCTGACATTGATAAAGATGCTCAGACAAAGGTATGGTCAAGACACACACACCAAAAGCTACCAGGGAAGTGCCAACATCATCAATCAAAAGGCAGTGTCCATCTAGAGGCACAAGAAGCCTCACTTCTCCCTCCAGGGAGGCTGACTCTGTCAAAAGAGGCTCAAGGGCCAAGTGTGGTAGTTCACATCTGTAATCCCAGCATTTTGGGAGGCAGAAGCAAGAAGATCATTTGAGGCCACAAGTTTGAAACCAGCCTGGGCGACAAAGCGACATCCTGTCATTTTTAAAAAAGAGGCTCAAGGAATCACCCCATGGAATCAACCAGGAGTTGTGCCAAAGCCCGTCTCTCTGCTTCCTCCCACCCACTTGATAAGAGTTTTTCTAAAGGAAGACAGTACTGAGATCATTCTCACCGATAAGAAAGTGGACTCGGTATAAATCGGACTTCTGGAGAAGACGCCGCAGCTTGGCCTGCGTCTCAGTGGTCTCCGCACCCTTGCTGCTGGCGGAGGCCCTCTGCTGCAGCACGTCTTCCAGGTAGAGCACAGCTAAGTGGGTGTGATACTCTTCTTTCTGCAGGAAACAGGGGGAGCCAAGCAAACAGACAGTGTTTTCAAGTGGGAAGGCCAAAGCTCTCCCCGGTCAGCCAAGGCTTGGAGACGGGAGCTGCGCTGACATGAGCCGGGCGGATGCTCACTCACTGGATCAAAACCTTCTCAGAAACCACAATACAGACATGAGTTGACCATCTATGGGGAATATAACAAAAAATCACCTCTTATTTCGAGAAGTAAGGGCCACAGAATTGAGGTAACCTACAAAAAGGTATAGCTCCTTTTATTTCCTTTAAGGATTATAACAAAGAAGGAAAAGAGGAGAAAAATAAAAGCTGAGTGGACGTGAGATGGAAGGAGAAAAAATAAAGCTACCTATTGCTCCATGTCTCTTTCCGCAAGCCTCAAGGCCCCCATCAGACCATCAACAAGTAGGATGGAGCACCCAGGGAATAGACATTACACAGACCTACATGCCAAAAAGTGTTGTAGTTTAATTCTGCGTTTCCAGCCCACCCTCTTGAGTCTCAGTTCTGCAGTGCTCACCTGCAGTCTCTTGTCTATCACGAGATGTTCCAGATACTTCACAAGGGCTTTAGGGTATTTTTTAAGGCAATTGATAACGTCGTCTGGGTTAAAACTGTTCTTCTGCTGTTCATCCAAAGGTCTCTTGGTGAAAACTTGAACTCCGACCTGAAAGAGGGGCGGCAATACAGCGACTGTACTTTTCAAACCCACTTTTTCTTCATCTATTTTGGTCACTGCACATTAAAGCTTTGGATAAAATCATCGCTTAAAATATAATGATGTATTCAATATGTACAGCTTTTTGTATGTCAATCATATTTCAATACAGCGGTGTAAAAAATATATTTATAGAGAAAAACAGCCCAGCATGAAGCAGTGTCAAAGGCCAGAGGGCAACAAATCAAGATTAAAAAGGCAACCTAAACCCTGAAGCCCTCCTCGAAGACCCTGTGCAAATTGGAAACTGAAGAACAAGGCATTTTTTGCTGACAGATTTTGACAACCCATGGAGTAACAATTTTATAATATTCAGATAATCCAAGAACAAGGATGGCAGTAGCTGAACAGGATGTGAAAAGGTATCGAAAGCGCTGACATTTCTGTACAGTAAACTCACTTCTCTGAACATGGATTATCTACTCTGGGTTAATTTGGATAGATGGTTCATCTGAGCTCTGAGCCTCCAGTCCCTGAGCAAGTTTCCAGGCTGCCTTCCTGTGTCTATCAAGTGGAGGCACTGGTCCAATCCTCTGGTTCAAGGGAAGGACAGTGAGGCAGGTAGGAAAGCAGCTCTCCACCACACCTCCTCCAAGCCCTTACGTGTTCAGGTTCTATCCTGTGCACGCACACACACGCCCCCTATAAGCCCAATACATTCATATATCATGTATTATGGTACAGATTTTGGATTCTGCAAGCCTGGATTTGTGTCCCAGTTTTACAAACTACAGCCTCAGTTTCCTCACCTGTAGGTAAGGCCCACTGAGGGGTTGCTGTGATGTTTAAGCAATGACCTTTGTCAGGTGACTATCTACCATGTGGCATACTGAATTCCATGTATGTTCTGCTGCTATCATCTGTGAGCACTGGGAGAGGCCTAAACTTTGCAACGGCACTGAGATCCACGTTGTAGGTGTGTGTGAGTGGGCCAAGATGTGTTCTGCAGGCAAATGCACAGTGGCAAAGTAAAGATGGAGTCCCAAGTACACAAAGCGCCAGTGCCTGGTTCTGATTTTCCAGGGAAGGCAGCACCACAGAGGATATGAGAGTATATTCCAACTCAAGTTTTAGAAAGGCAGATGCAGCACTCAGAAACTCTTCATTCAGGACCAAGGACCTGCATCAGAAAGCTCATTTTGTCTCTCTGAGGGGAGCCTTGGAAGCATGTTTTTCATAGTGAGAACTGAAATGCTTGCTGTGTTCCTCCCAGTAACCCGTAGGGCATTACTAAGGATACTGTCCTAAGCCTGCTACCTCCGCTCTAGCCAACAGGCGCTTTTTCACTGCCAGCATTTCTCAGTCTCCAAGACAGGCCAAGTCTTGCTCATGGCTCCTCTCCCTCCTCCAGGCCCACAACCTCCATGTTGGCAGCGGTGGGAGCAGGGATGAGGGCAACAGGCTGCCCGGCATGGCCCAAGTCTGGGTGCTTCCTCCTCCCAAGGATCAAGTCCTGCAGGGTAATCACCTAATCCTGCTCCAGAAAACAGCAGCATCAGACTTCTGAAGGGTCGAGGAGCAGAATGCACAGACACAAGTTCGTAAGACACTAAAACTGCAAGCTGGCTATGCGTCTTGCTTTTCTATAAAAGTGCAATGTCTCAGCAGCAAGATCCAGAACTGCCCTAGAGCTGGAATCCAGAGAACTCAAGGGAAGTATTAAAAGGGGCACAAAGAAAAACAGAGGAGGAGGTTGAAATGTAGCCTTCTTTTCCCCTCCTAAAATCAAAGTTTTTTGGGCCTATTTTTACCACTTCCCCCTAACAAACAGAATGCATTTTTATGAAGCACAAACCTCTTCACTTTTCTGCAGGACCCAGTCAGCATAGGCCCAAACTAGCTCCTTGTCTAAGCAGTAGGTTAGAAAATCCACGATGTATTCATATAAGTCTGAGCGTGTGGAGTCCTGGACATCGCCATTCACAATGTTCACCCACAACTAGGAAGGAATCAAAAAGAAAAAATATCATAAAGGTACGTATGTATCTTAGAATTAGCCGAGACAGGGCATATGTTTACCAATTTGGCTTTTTAATACCTTTTAAAGTAGTTAGAAAAACTGTAAATGTTTAAATCAGTTTTATTTTTTTTGGAGAAATAAAGAAATGTAAAAAGATGCAGTCTACGAAATAAAAAAATAAAGCCCCAGGTTCTTTTTTCTTTCTTTCTTTTTAACAATAACATGATAAACAGAATTTATGCAGGGAGGTGAATATATTAAGAATGTTTCTTCATGAAATAAACAAAACGGTTGCTGATGATGTCTTGACACAGAAGAGATTCACCTACAAGCATCAGCCACGTTCTCCGTCACAGAAATTCTTGATTTTGAAGTCCGCATTGGAGTGTGAAAGGCAGATTTGTGCTTTTAAAAAAGCTTTGGTGATTCTGTCCCCCAAGTTCTCATTGCCTTTTGTGCAGGGGGGCTCAGGATAGACTCCAGTGATAAAAGCCTTTTGCTCTTTCAGCCAGAAACTTCTCTACCATGTTAGGTGAAGCTGACTTTCAGGACCCTGGAATGAGGCAGCATCATGCGGGGGTGGAAAGAATGGTGGCTGCGTGGGTTCCTCACCTTCCTGCACACCACACCACCCCTCCAAGCCACAGCACCAGGAAGGAGCCAGAGACGGGTGGCATATGAATTCTGGAATTCTGATGTCAGCATATGAACACTTTTTATGATACTAGTTTCTTCAACGCAGAACCCCCCAAACCAAATAATTACACATACCTTGAAATGTGCCATTTTAGATAAAATTGTACCACATAGATTTATTCTATATCACTTCAGGTTTGCAAGTCTATCTCTCTACAGCTCTGCTAAGTTATTACTCTACTTATATAAAGCTGTAATTCTGAGAACACCAGGTTTTTGAAAATGAAAATTTTATCACTGACACCCAAATCTATTCTTGGCCATTGGGTACATGTTAATGGGAATTCCCCTCATCCTATTTTGTTTTTTTTTTTTTTTGTTCTGCTCTGCAATCAGGTTACCACAATGGTCTCTCAAAGCAATCAAACACTAAATACGTGTTCAGTCTTGCCAGAGTCATAAGGTTCACTTTAGCTTGGTGAATATGGCTGATGCTCCTGGCCCCTCACAAAATAAAGCAAAAAGGCACATGAGGGAGTGACATGGTATGATACAAGTGCATAATTAATAACGAAGGGGAAAAAGTCTCCTGAGAATGTGAGATGAGGTTTTTCTCAAGATCAGTAGCAAGATGTAAGATACAAGATGTAAGAGCGCTAACAAATCGATGAGATTTCAATTGGGGTGCAGGACCCCTGCCAGGCCAATGGAGCACTGGTTCAGATCCCAGCTCTACCAGACACGTGGCTTTGTGCAAGCGACTGGCCTGCGTCAGCTTTGGTTTTCTCACAGGCGACACAAGGATAATAACTTACCCAGCTCACTGGCAACAGTGATCGGCACTAACAGTGGAAATGATAAATCCGACTGTCATTCACTTTCTACATTTTCTGTTTAGACAGAAAAGGCAGCTTAAACCCTGAAGGGCAGTGATATATTATGACTTGTGGGAGTCATATATATTATGACTTGTGGGAGTGGATATATTATGATCTCTCTGTGGGAGATCATATTTTCATTTTTAAATTTTTGAAAACTCAGTCTTGATAATGTTCTTTAAAGAGATGGAACGATAACGAGAAGAAAACTCCTGGCCAACATTTCTCAAGGAATTCACTTTCTAAAAAAGAATCATTTTTGCTCTGTATAAAAGGGTATACATCAGGCAAAAGTGGTCTCTATCAACTTGTGATTTTTTTTTTAAGTAACGCTAAGTATTTCTTACATGGTACTGATTTTAAAATCACTTGGAAATGCTTCTAGACTCACCTGAACTGCAGCAGTGTCTTGGTTATTATAATGATAGAGCAGTCCAAGTGCAAAATACCTGAAACAGAACAACATGGTAAGGACAACCTCTCCCCATTAGCTCCTGGGGGCAACCTTCACACAGTGACACGCTCAGTCCAAGCCCCGCCATATTCTAGTCAACTCGAGTTCAGGCTGGGCACAGTGGCACATGCCTGTAATCCCAACACTTTGGAAGGCCAAGGTGGCTATCCGGATAGCTTGAGCCCAGGAGTTCAAGACCAGACTGAGTAACAACATAGTGAGATCTCATCTCTATTTAAAAATTCAAAAAAAAGTAGCCAGGTATGGGGTACACACCTATAGTCCCAGCTACTTAGGGGTGCTGAGGTGAAAGGATCACTGAGCCCAGAAAGTTGGGGCTGCAGTGAGCCCTGATTGTGCCACTGCACTCCAGCATGGGTGACAGAGTGAGATCCTGTCTCAAAAAATGTGTGTGTGTGTGTGTATGTGTGTATGTATATATATGTATATATATATATGTATATGTATATATATATGTATGTATATATGTACAGTTTGACAACAACAAATAACCAAAGGATTCTCATTTCTGTTTATTTACTTATGGTACTAAAAATGTATGCTCTATCAACTTCCAAAAAGCATCTGATTCCAATCTAAGATGAGCTGAAAACGTAAACTACGGAAAAATCACATCTGGAATTGCTTTATAATTTGCTTCAAATATTAATATAATTTCATATGTCTTTGGTCTACCACTATTAACCTACATGAGGTACTAGAAGAATATGCAAAAAGTATGCTTCCTAACCAGTGACTGAGAAGGAGGGCAGGGGGTCCCAACATGAGGAACAGCAGGAAGTGCCAGTATCCAGCCCTCGCAGACCAGCATCACAGAGCGTCAGTGGAGTGCCCAGACTTCAAGAACCTAGGTTTCAAGTCCAGCTTCGTTACTTATAACCTGCGTGACCTTGAGTATAAGTAGGTTAACTTCCCCAGCCTCCATCTCCTCACCTATAAATGGAAAAGATCAGCAATAGCATTGGCATTGCCTGGGCAGCAAGCCCTCAGCACCCGCCCAAAGTCTGCAGGGGTGCCACGCTCCTGGTCCTCCTCCCCAGCAGGAAACTGGAGTAAGTGGACCAGCGAGAGGTCAGGCTTCTTCCCTCTAAGAGCACACTCTAAAGATATTGAGGTATCTGCTCGAATCCTTCTGTTTTCCTTCGGGAAAGTCAGGCTAACTCTACAGATCCCACCGTCCCTCGTCACTACCATGAGGTGGCGGTGTGTTTTCTGACTCCTGAAAAAACTAACATTGATTCCATAGCATATCTGAATAGCTGATGGAAACTGCCGGAAAAGTCAATACCCACGTGGAAGGCTCTGACATCTCAGGCACCTAAACGAGATCTAGCACAGTGACCCCAGGGCCTCTCTGGGAGTTCATCCACGCTTTTGTCATTCTGAATCCTTCACAAAAATCATAGACCAAAACAAACTCTTATTTTGCAAAAGAAGTTGAGGGATCCAACCCCTCTCATTTTTAAAGATAAGAAAACGGAGGCCTAGAATGGTTGGGCTATGCATTAGCTGCCCAGAATGGGGAAGCTGCTGGCCCTAACCAAGCCAGGCACTATGCATTAATAGCCCATGGTACATAAGGCCATCTACTAACTCATACAGGTAAGGAAGTCAGAGTTTTTTGTTTCTTTGAGACAGGGTCTAGCCCTGTCACCAGGCTGGAATTCAACAGTGTAATCATTGCTCATTGCAGCTTCAACTTCTGGGCTCAAGCGATAGTGCTTCAGCCTTCTAAGTAGCTGGGACCACAGGTGTGCACCACCATGCCCTGCTAATTTTTTTTTTAATTTTTAGTAGAGATGAGATCTTACTATGATGCCCAAACTGGCCATAAACTCCTGGGCTCAAGCAATCTGCCCACCTCAGCTTCCCAAAATGCTGGCATCACAGGTGTGAACCCCCATGTCCAGTCAAGGAAAGTGGAGTTTAAATCCATACAATCAACAAGATCAGCAAGATCAAGAAGCCTCCCTTTGAATCTATTTATCTAGACATTTATTCAATGTGGTCTGCAGACAGTGGTAACACTGAGGGCATCTGAGGAGCACGTGCATCTGCTGTCCCTATGATTTCATGGCAGTCACCTATAGGTCCTTGGGAACGCAAACATCATACTGGCTTAGTCAGCTTTACGAGGATTTCCCCAGCAAAGGGCCTCAGTAAGGGTGTAGAAGCCCTGGTTGTATCGGGAGGGGAGCACTCACTTTTTGTGCTTCTCTAGCCAGGCGGCACTGTCCGTCAGAAGACAAAAGTTCTCAGTGACCAGGAGGTCCAGCAGGCTGTCGTGGTCAGCCTCCGCGTACAGTTTGAGCAAGGCTGTGTCGATGTCCTCCTTGTAGCCGTTTGCTACCTCTGTGCTGCGGACCTCATTCAGGTAGCTCATGAGGAAGCGTTTGCACTTGGCCATCTTCTCCTGGTCCCCCTGGGTCAGCTGGTTCAGGTCTGCATACTCATGAAGAGGAGGGTGGGACCGGGTGAAGGAGGAGGAGGTGGGCAACAGGAAGGGGTAGAGAGAGATCAGCTCCCGGACATCAAGCTGGCCGCTTCTGCAATTACAGTGTCAAACTAAATGAAGCAAAAAGAGAGAAGAGTACACATAGGCACACAAACAGCACTGGAGGGGAAGTGCACAGCGGCACATGTTCACAGGGGGCTAGGGAGCTGGGGACAGGGTAAGCATGTCGGAGCGACCGTTCTAATCTGCAAGCACAGCAAAGCACCATCCAACTGGGTGTTGCCACCTGGCTCCAAAAAAGAACAGGGGACGAAGGTGAAAGACACGTACACAACTGGTGTGAGAGTGGAACATCAAAATGCCTATGATGAAGTGAATACCCAGCTGAGCCTGGAAACCAAGGCAGAAAAAGCAACACCAAGGATAATACACCATCGGTGTCTGCGCAAAGGCAGCATCACAGCTCTGCTGAAACCAGCATTTTCCTGGCACTAAATTACAAGCAGATTTGTTGAATGGTCCTTAAAGAAGGGACTTTATAGAAACATTAACTTACAACTTCCTCACCAACATCTCACAACAGAAGACACAGAAGTATTCATGTGGCCATTTCTGTGGGGACTCTCACAGAATTTCAGAGTGCAACATTGGGATGCAAGAAACAGTTCCTTTCCCATCTCCTCCCTGGAAGCTGCTCATCTTGGCTACAATCAGAGCGGGAGCTGTGGATCTCAAACCTAGCCCAGAGTCAGACCCAGCTGCAGAAAACCTCTCGAGGAAACAGAAGCAGGGGCCACCCCACCCTGGACACACAAAACAGTGAGGAAGGACCCAAGATCCACGCTGCCTGCGACGTTCAGTGCATCCTCCTTCACCCAAGCTCTGATCAGCTGTCCTCTTCTACTGGCTTTCGCCTCTGGCTGCCTTTCCTTCCACTCCACTCAGCCTCTCCTGACCTCCCATGGCTTGTACAACCCACAGGATAAATTTCAAACCTCTTAGTATGGCATTCAAGGCCCTTCCAAACTGATCTCAAGCTACCCTACAATTTCAGCTTCCAGCATCCTTCCCACACCCCAGCACTTCTACTAGACCTACTTATTTTGCCAATTTGTAAATTTCATGCCTCTCAGCCTTTGCTGCTGCTGTTCCCCCTGTAGCAGTGGTTCTTGGTGGGAAGCAATTTTGCTTCCTGGGGAACATGTGGCAATGCCTGGAGATAATTTTCCCATGACTGGGGTGTGGGTGTGCTATGGCATTTAGTAGGTAGAGGCCAGGGCTGATGCATTAAACACCCTACAATACACAAGACAGTACCCTCTGCTCAAAGATCTATCTGGTTCAAGACGTCTACAGTGCCACAGCCGAGAATCCGTGACCTAAAGTATAATTCTTGATTTGAGAAATTTCTGCTCATCATTTAAAATCCAGGATGAATTCAGTGAGGATTCCTCCACTGGCTGATGTGAGTGCAACTCTCCCACAGCAGAGCGACACCTGTGCTGCAGGAAAGGCAAGCATCCAGTTTCCAAGCTAGAATGGGCACGCCAGAGAAGCAGGCACTGGGTCACCCTTCCATCCCTTGCTCTGACGCTCAGGCCACATTTGCTGAATGAAAGAAGAGCTGATACAAGGACAGGCTGCAGGTTGTCTAAGGGAAGAGACACATAGCCCACATCCCCGGGTTATGAATGATCAGTGTTCTCTTAGTTACCAACCATAATTAGCTGGCAACTGTGGCCTCCAGTATGACACTGAGAAGGAGTCTGAGGACGGGTCCCAGTTCAATGAGGGCAAGAAAATCATGATTTATTAGCAATATTTTTTGTGAGCACAGAAAAGGAAGTGGAATCATCTTTGTCTTAGGAGTATCTTCTTCAAATATCAATTCTCAGGCTGGATGTAGTGGCTCATGGCTGTGATCCCAGCACTTTGGGAGGCTATGGCAAAAGAATGACATGAGGCCAGGAGTTTGAGACCAGCCTGGGCCACACAGTAAGAGCCCGTCTCTACAAAAAATAAAAAAAATTAGCCAGCAGTGGTGGCATATACCTGAAGTCCTAGCTACTCAGGGGGCTGAGGCAGGAAGATCACTGAGCCCAGGAGGTCAACGCTGAGGTGAGCTATGACTGCACGACTGCACTTCAGCCTGGGTGACAGAACGAGATGCTGCTTCAAAGCGAAAAAAAAAAAGCAATCAGTTCTCTCAGTCACACTTGGACCAAAACCGAGCAGAAATTTAAAGTTAAGCTATTAAGAGAGTGAGGTGCAGAAGTACAGGATCATCATCCTATTAACAAACAGGCCCCATATCTATTCTCACAAAATCTAGGATACTTCTAGGAATCCATCTGTGGACAAGCACCTAATGTTTCAGATTAACCCATGAGAGAAAGAAGACACCTTGGGATACACCCATGACCCCAGTGAGGAGGTCTTCAACACTGAAGCGTAATACAAGATATAACAGAAAAGAGCACAGGTCCAAAGGGGCAAAAAATCAACTTAAACCCCAAAGCTACGGGTCTTTCCAAGAACACAGAACAGCACCTAAGAGTTCCATAAGAAAAAGTGATATGGGGCCTCATTATTCAAGGAATGATTCCTTCTTTACTCAGAAATCCATTGTCTACACCCGATTTTGTAAGAGAGTGCAAGATGAGAGCCACAGTGGATGTAAGGACATGGCTGGTGGTGGGCAGACCTCCTACAGAACAGGTAGGAGAGGCATTCCACTCAAGTCACTACTTAGATGAAAATATCTATTCATGGGCTTCCTATACATGTTATTTCTTAGATAGCTATAAACTGTGCAGAATCTATTCTGGAGAGACATTCTGAGAACTTACTCTAAAGGCAGCACCTGAGTAGGATATTTCAAGACTCTTATAGCAGGTCTAACTTAATCTTCTGCCAAGAGTGCTGAGCAAGACCTGGGAGAGCTAACTTCTGCCTCACTGAGCTCTCAGCTGTGGGATGATGGCAGCCTCCACGTGGCAGTGAGGTGTGTACCTATAGGGCAGGTGTGGCAGGCAGGGGAAAGGGGAGAACGCACTCGACAGTCCACAGGTATGTCTGACACGCACAGGAGTAATCACAGTGCCAGAAGGGACCTCCTTAAGAGATACTCAACTTTCTGAGAGCTGACCAGGAATAGAACATTGAGAAGGTCTTTAGAGAATGACAGAAAGTTCCGTAGGTCTCCCAGAAGTTCTGTTATTTTCTCCCTAAGCTCATAGCATCTGGTAAAAATCTCTGGAGAGAAGTAAGAGTGAACCACAGTGCTTTCCCAGGAGTCCTTTGCGTGTTATCAGATCTACTCTTTAGGAATTTCTCCTGGCGAAACAATCTTGATGCTTCCATGGGCCTAGTGTCTATGCCCTTCCTCTGCTCCATCTGAGACATCTGGGTGAGGGGTGACAACAATGAACCAGCACTGAGGGGGGATCTACTGTCACAAGCAACCCCCACCACATCCACCTGAAGGACAATCTACCACGCAACACATCCTGCTGCAACGTCACACTGGAAACGCAGGTTCTGGCCACAGAGGGACACTGTGGTGGCAGTCTTGCTACCAGCACCTCGAATTACCTGAAGAGCTCTTTAGCTTCCAGGAACTGAAGTTGTGCAAACTGTATAAATCCCGCCTGCTGCAGAATCCTTCTGTACATTACCTGCAAGGAAAGACAGGTGTAATCTCAGCAAATCCTGAAACTATCATGTCACGGTTAAATTTGTCTAACCCAAGCTAAATAATGTTCATTACAACACAAACGTAAAATTACAAGTTAAGGAAAAAACAAGGCGCATATAAAATTATATGTATCTGTCTCTTTGTGGATTTATTTTCATAATTCCCTAATCCTTCCCAAATGCAATCCTTGCTCTCCGAGTCTCCTCCTCATTAATTCACAGGGCTTCAACGAGTCCCTGTACTTGTGTTGCTGAGTTGGATGTCAATAACCCTGATGTTTCTGGCAGCCCAGGAGCTGCCTGGCCGCCTTCCACTCTTCTAGAGTTGAACTCACAGTAGCACCTCTCAGAGACTCACTCAGAGCACAGGGCCGACCCATTTCATAACGAAACATAAACACCCAGGCTTTCTTAGCCAGAGATGCGGAAATGTTTAGTGTTCCATCTCCTGCTGGTGATGCCCAACCCACTCTAACAATCAACATGCGACGCTCCTGCAACCAAGGTGCCAGTTTATCTTGTTTACTCCACTGTGACCTACATTTCCATGACTACTTTGTTCTCGTTACATCTGGCAATAGCAAAACGCACGTTAGGAACCTGCTGTATGGGTCCCATGCCAGCCCCCTCACCGTCCAGCATAGCTGGTGTCCGAGTCCTGTCCATCGTCTGTATGAAATGGCTCCTGGACATGTTTCTTCCCTCCGTTCCGACAGGTGCCACCACCATAGCCCGGGCTCTAATTGTCTCATGAGTAAAGACTGTGTTTTAATTACTCTCTCTGACTTAGACACCTCCCCTTCCAACCCGTCCTTCCGTTTGACAGCCACACATTTTGTGAAGGCACAGCACATACATCACCCACCTAGCGTCTCCCACGACTAGCCTAGCATCTGCCTTTCAGTCGATGCTCACTGATCAACTCTCAGATGCACGTGTATGAAACTCCACTTCCATTGTCATTCACTATCCCCATCTTACAGGAACAAAAATTCTGCCCAGAGACATTAAGTTTTTAGCCCCAACTTACTAAAATAAGAATTGGTTGGATCATGATTTAAAACCAGACCTTTCCGATTCTAGAGCCCAAATCTTTCCACGCACTGATTCTTCCAGGTACACAGCAGGCAGTTGGTGAGTCACCCACTGAAGGCACAAGGGAAGTGAAGCCTCAGTGCTGAAACACTATCAATCCTGTTCTCTCAAATTACCTTTCAAAGGGCTTTCACTCAGCACCACAAGATAGGGTGGAGAAGAAAAAAACCACTTTCACTACCCAGTAGTTTTAAAAGTCTGTTAGAAGCATAGCAACCATTCCTCACCTACTTCCAGTAGAAATCCCCTTAGACACGTAAAAACAAAGCAAGCTGCTTAAACCTCTCAGTTTTCTCTTTACCATCTGTCTTTATTTTTCTTCCCTTAAACCAGCCTTTTCTGACCTAAAGACTGACTCAATTACACTACCTAACAATAAGCAAAAGGAAACGGGGCAAAGTTCTGTTGCCTGGAAATACCAGTTCCATTTCTGAAAGCAGAAACAGTGGAGGCCAGCCACTTAGCAAAAGGGATGCAAAGGACCCATCAGCTGCAGTAGAAGAATTCTCAATCACCCCCAGGCTTGTTGAGGAGAAAATAGCTGAGCGGCAATTTATTCCTTACGGCGGTAGGATTCAAATGTCATCCACTCTTCCCCTATCTGCAGGGAAATGGAAATTACTTTTGTGGACAATCCAAATCTCCAAGAATAAGGGGTTATTTTCTATACTCTAGTCTGGGAATCCTACTTGCACACTTGGAAGGAGAATGCAAAGAAGTTCTTCATCCTGGATGTAAGTATCACAGATGCTGAAGCTTGGGATGATACAGAGTACACCGTCGGATTTCACCTAAAAATGCCTGATCAGAAACTTTACCAAGCATAGTCAATTCTTGATTCTCTGAATGTGACGGTCTCACTTCCAAACTGACTGCTGTGATCGATGCCTCCTCCTGCTGTCTGCTCAAGTGATCCCGAGCTATAAAACCTGGAGCCAGATAAGGTGTCAGGGAAAAGATGAGATGGACGAGTAGATATGAAGGACAGAGAACAAGAAAGTCGGTTTATCTCCAGAGCTAACTCAACAGTGGAAGTTCCAAGTCTCTATTTTCATTAGCAGCTCATCCTTCAGTATAATGCAGTGGTGCAATTTCCCAAGTGAAGACAGTAAGTCAGCAAAGCAGCCCTCTAAGGAGCTACTCTATGTCTATGCTCTACAGAGGTTGCAGGCAAAATGCCTCCACCAGGCTTAAGAGGCTGCATGGATTCTGGAAGCAAGTTGAAACTGAAGTCAAAATCCTTATTATTAGTATTATATTTCTGAACTGAGATTTCTTACACTTGTGACTTGGGGAATTGAAAGAAGATTCTAATCTAAAGATTTCTAAACCTGTTTCCAAGGCTGCATTGTCTAAGTTAAATATCACACAAGCGCTTCTGGAGAGAACAGTTCTTCCAAGCACTAAATTCAAAGGGCAGCTTCTTTCACGGCTCCGCCTTACAAGGCACTGCCTAACAAAATACACAACCTTTCTAACTAATGGAATGTGACTCAGCCTTAAAAAGGAAGGAAATTCCAACACATGCTGCAACACAGGTGAACCTTGAGGACACCACACTCAGTGAAGTCAGCCAGTCACAAGACAAATGCTGTATTAACCCTGATACGAGGTCCCTAGTGCAGTCACAGACAGAAAGCAGAATGGGGGCTGCCATGGGGGCTGCCAAGGGCTGGTGGGGGATGTAGGGCGGGGAGGTGGGGAGTTATTGTTCAATAGCACAGCATTTCTGCCTGGGAGGATGAAAAGGTCTGGAGATGGATGGTGCTGATGGCCGCACAGCATTGTGAATACACTCAATGCCGCAGAACTACACACTACAAAATAACTAGAACAGTAACACTTATGTTATGTGTATTTTACTACAATTAAAAAAAAAATTCTCCAGGTAGATGTTTTTCCTTTACTGAATTTTGATAGTAGCCAAAGGCTTTTCATTTCTGTGGTGATCTGTGCTGGTATAGACTGAGGTGAAACGCTCTGAAATCAGAATGTGGGTCTGAGTACAGGCTCTTCCCGTCATTAGCTGTGTGACCTTGGGCGGGTTATTCTGTCCCTCCATGCTGCATCTTCATCTTTATACAAGGGAGCAGAGCCCTGCAACCTCAGAGTTGGGGTGAGGATTAAGAGAGGGCATTTGGGTGTGGCCATCACAACAGTACCTGCCATGTAGTAAAACACACAATAAATGTTGTCTCTCTCTTTTAGCACTTCTAACTAATGCCAGGCTTTAACTCTTTCCATCATCTTCCAGGTCAGTCTGCTTGATTCTATCGCATCTCTGTGAGTAATGGAGGGAGGTGGATACATCCTTCTCTAATGAAAGAGCTGAAGAAAATCAGATTTTAAAAGGAGACTTCCCACAAGAACAACCACACGATGGCAGCACCCATGCCCTCACGTGACAAGAGCCAGTTCCTCAAATATGGCGCCTTAGGTGGCCTCACCAGATCCTAGGCCAAATATGATACAAAAACGCATCAAGTGGTGGGGCCTGGATAAGGAATACAATGGAGTCATTTACTGCAACTCAGAAAAATATTTTCTTTCAAGTCTGTAAAAACTAGGTAGGCCAAACGTGGGCTCACACTAGAATATTTTTCATTGTTATAGTAAGAGCTTTTTGAGAAAGATGACAACCACAACCAAATGAGTCTGCAAATACCATAGCAGGATGCACACCACGTAAACCCTGGAACCAAGGGGAGGTAAACCGGCACACAGGGACGGTGGGGACTGCTGAGCCGGGGGCAAGGACAGGATGAACAGGATGCCTCTCCCCTTTACTGAGCTTCCCTCTCCAGCTACGGCTGGTTCTTTAATGCAGGGGATGGGATGGGGCTAAGAGGCAGTGGGTCACCCTGACTAGACAATACGATCAACCGCAGACCTGGAGAAGGGAAACTGGCAAACACTGTTGTTGACAGCCAGCTACCAAGGCGCAGAGGACAGCCAGACCGCTACGATTCAATATATGATGCCCTATAACATGGAGAATGTAACACGAATATATGAGACATAAGTATCATTCTCGTAAGTATAGCCGAATTCTAAACACAAATTGGCATGAATGTTATCATTTTAACTATATTCATACTGCCCTTTTTTTTCACTTATTAAAAAAACCATGTAAGTTATTGTCTAAACAGAAACATCTTTCCCAAAATACATTGGGTGGAACATGACCGTGGCATTGTCCGCGTTAAAAAGGCAATGTGTCCTAATTGAATAAGTTTGTAAACAGGTGTGCATGTATATGTATCTAATATACACAAATGCTGTTATATAAAATATATAAACTGAAATACACTTAGTTGTGTAGATATAAAATATACAACTATATCATGTATAAAATGATGCATTTACATATATTATATATATATATAATATATATATACCACACACACACACACACACACACATCCCTTTTTGAGGATTCACAAAAAGGTAATAAAAATACAATAATATATACCCTCTTAGGGACTCACAATAAGTATTAGTATATATCGAACGCTCTAAGAAAACCTTTAATTAAGAAACCTGATTAACTTAACTTCCCAAAATATAATCTTCCTCCCACCCTGCACCTGTTACTGTCCCTGCACGTGTTTGGTGAAACAAACCTGGAAACCTTGATTCAGAAGGAAGCCTGCAATGAACACACACAAAGCAGGAAAGGTGGTCAATTTCAAACATGGGAATGGGGAAGGGAGGCAGCGAGGGAGTGGGAAGAAAAGAGGGAGAGCACACATAGCAAAATTTACCAAAAAAAAAAAGGCCCAAATTCCTGGGAAGGATATACACAAAAAATTGCAACACTGGTGACTTTTAGAGAGAAAAATGATGTGCTAAGGAAGAAAAGGAGACTTGCCATTTGATTTTTTTT